TCTTCTTCCTTTCTTTTTCTTTCTCCGTTCACTGCCATTTTTGGGGTTAATTTCGCCCGTCAATTTAGTTTTTTACTCTTAAAATGTTGATTCTAGTTTTGTAACCCTCAAATTATTGGTTCGATTTCCTTTCCTTTAAAAAGAGTGATTTTTTTGAAAAATTTTCATAATAGAAGAAACTCTATATGATATAAATTCATGGTTGCAAATAGTACCAAACCATATGAACTCAAATAAATCAAAACTTAAAGTAGTTAGACGAAAATGAACCTCACATGGAGAAGAAAATATTTTAATAATTTTTTTGTTTTTGTTTGGAGGTATGATTTGGTGGACTAATTATTCTATTTAATTGAATAACCATTAACCAGTCTGATTAATTTTTTTTTTGGTATTATAAAATTGAGTGAAGGAGAGATGTTTAATTTTCTGTTCCAAGAAAGGAATGAAGAGAACCGATTTTCCTCATTCAAACAAATTGTTATCCACGTCCACATCCCTCTATTTGACCTTTCCTTTAAATTCAGATTTGGTCTAAAATATTTCGAGTTTGATTCATAAGCTTTAAAAATATCAATTTACATCAACTTATTTATTTTTTTCCCTTTTTTAATAAGTTAGATTATAAATTTGGTTTATAGATTATATTTATCTCGTCACTCTCCTTTACTTCCAAGGACGTTCTCTACTCTGTTCATTTGATTTTTTGGTATTTTTAAGATTATGTCAATCTAATTTGATTTCTCTATTTTGTACTCTTAATTTTATGTTTAATAAGTCTCCGCATATTATTCTTTAGTTTAACAATTAGATCATCACATTAAAGGTCTAAAGTGTTCAAATTAAATCAACTTTGTAAATAAAAGGAATGACTTAGATAAAAAGAAGGTATAGTTGAATGATTTATCAATAACTAATTAAAATACAAGAATGAAATAAACAGAAACAGAAGTTCCAAAATTGAGAAGTTTTTTAAAGTAATAAAAAAATTTAATAAATATAATGTTGAAAGGCAAATATCATTCTTATCCTGATCTTTGCTTTCTTTTGTTTTAAATAAGATTTTGAGATTTGGGACCAATGTAGCTAGTTTTTTAAAATTCATGAATAAAAAATCTAGAAATTGAGAGATAAAAGAAAATAAAAAAAAGGAGATTTAAACTTTTTTATTTTATTTTTTGGAATAAGAAATAATTTGTCTTCATCAAACAAACTTTAAGATAAGGAGTAATCTGGACCACACGATACATCTCAGGTAACTCTTGTGTTCTGTGGGGAGCCACTGAACCCACCACTGCTCCTTCTGGGAATCTGCGCCACCACTTTCTTCGTCAGCATGTGGATGCACAACGTGGCGACGGCGGTGATGATGATGCCGGTCGCCACCGGGATCCTCCAGCGTTTTCCGACGGGTGGGTCCCGGTCCGACGCCGAGGCCAAGTTCTGCAAGGCGGTGATTCTGGGGGTGACGTACGCGACGCCGATCGGAGGGATGAGCACTCTCACCGGCACCGGCGTCAACCTCATACTGGTCGGAATGTGGAAGAGCTATTTTCCGGAGGCGGACCCCATCAGCTTCAACACTTGGAGCTTTTTCGCGCTGCCCATGGCTCTGCTCATCTTCTTCGTGTTTTGGGTCGTCTTGTGTTTGATGTATTGCCCCAGAGGGTCGGGCCCCGCGCTTTCCGCTCATCTCGATAAGGGCCAACTCAGGAGAGAACTCCAAGCATTGGGTGAGCTTCAAATCATGCTCGTATTGCTTTTCAATTCTTACAAATTTGGATACTTGAGATATTTATGTTGGATTATGATGGAGCAGGTCCAATGGCTTTTGCCGAGAAGATGGTGTTGGCTGTGTTCTCGGTCTGCCCCTAAACTAAACTAGTTCATCATTTTTCTGAGAAAACTTTGAACTTGAGTCTGAAACAGAGATATTTTCTTGCAGATTCTGATATTCTTGTGGATGACGAAGAACATCACAGATGACATTCCTGGTTGGGGAGCTCTCTTCAATGGCCGTGCTGGCGATGGAACTGTCAGTGTGAGTATATCACTTACTCATTACGTTATTACCTTCTCTCAATTTGCACCTCTCAATGCATTTATTAACACCCAAATTGAATATGAATACAATACTTGTTATGTATCAAACACTTGTTAATTAGCGTCCTCTAAGACAACCGTGTTTGTGTCTCGTGTCTGTATCCGTGTTGCTTAGCTCTTATTTCACTTATGGAAACTCGGTAGGTGATGATGGCAACGCTACTATTCATAATCCCAAACAAGAAGCAAGAGGGGGAGAAGCTAATGGACTGGAACAAATGCAAGAAGCTGCCATGGGGGATCATACTACTCCTTGGGGCAGGCTTCGCCATAGCAGATGGGGTAAACAAGAGTGGTCTGGCAGACGTATTAGCCAACGCACTAAACTTTCTAGAGAGAGCCCCATACTTAGCCGTGGCTCCTGCGGTCTGCCTCACGAGCAGCCTCATAACCGAGCTGGTCGCCTCCAACAACGCCACCACCACGCTGGTCATCCCAATCCTGATCCAAATAGCCACCACCATGCACCTCCACCCGCTGTTCCTTATGATTCCAGGTGCCATTGGGGCTCAGTTGGCCTTCCTTCTCCCCACTGCTACACCTTCCAATGTGGTTGGGTTCAGCACTGGCTATATTCAAATTCCGGATATGGTCAAGATTGGCTTGCCTCTCAAGGTGGCTGCCATTGCTGTCATCTCTCTTCTCATGCCCACTCTTGGTACTTTTTTCTCTCCTCTCATTTTTCCTTCCCCCTATTTTGCTTGATATAAGTTGAGTTTGTTAAATTGCACAGGGATTAACTAGGCACAACTCTGAAAATTTAACTTGTAATTTAAGCTGATAGAATCTCATTGGCATGAAAATTGCAGGAAGTTTCGTTTTTTGGGACAAATAAGCCATTGCAATGAGGCTGCCAAATTTGGAGGTATACTACTTTCTGTTGATTTTTGAGGTATTTGCCAGAGACACCCATCTCCAAAAGAATCAGAAAAGCCAATATCAGTATTTATAATATTACACACACACACGACTCTTCCAGCTCTTGCTTCCAAGCATTATATAGGATCAGCTTCTTCCAAAATATGTATATAGAGAGACAGGCCTTAAATGGAAAGGAAATGTGGTGGGCATTGTTATCAAGTAAAACTATTATGGTGGATATATTGTTAAAACAGTGTAATTAAGTGTAATTTTTATGAGGGCATGAACATGAAGTGATAAAGTAAGTGTATTTCTATAAAGTTTCGCTTCAATGGTTGCATTCCTACAGAATGGTTGAAGGGCAGAAGAATGTGAAATGTGAAATGTGATTCGTGTTTGGTTGAGTGCGGTTGTTGTTGAAGAAAAAATGTAGGAAGTTTCAGAAACTTTGAATTCCAAGTCTCCCCCATCCCCAATTCCACAGATCGGCCAGCTGATCATCCTCCATGGTTTGAGTTTCACTGATTGAAAAACCCACCTTCAAATTTTGACAAAACCCCAATAAATAGTGGTGCCCACTTGCGATCTGACGCCAGTTTTGGCCTGTTTGAATGCAGCAGAAGAAGGTGGAGAGATTTGTTTCAGCAGGGGATTTGTCTTTTTTCATTTTTTTTCCCTTCTTGGTGTTATTTCTCTGCTTTACTAGGGTTCTTGTTCTTGTTGGGTTTGACTAAAATTGTCTCTGCTTCATTCTCACCCTCGCCTCTTTGTCTCAGTTGTGAAAATACTTAACTTCGATCACTTGGTTCCGACCACTATTGAAAAATTGATAGCTTGTTATTTCCTGTCGTAGAAATCCTAGGACACGATAAGGAGAGAGAGGTTTTATTTTTCTTATTTTTCTTTTCATTTTTTGAACTACCGTATCATCTATTTTATGAAATAAAAACTGTCAAGTCAACTATTCTATTATAAAATATACCATGTCAGAGGTTGACAAATAGTCAAAAGATTGAAATAAAATATTTCATTAGCCTAATTAGGAGATACAGACGTCATATTTCAAAACTCGGGACAATATGGATTCATAACATGCCCCTTGAGATGACGGTTCTTTTAAATTCACCAATCTCGATCAGATCCTTTTTCTTGTTTATGAGTTTATTGAGCTCTAATACCCTTTAAAATTCATGGAGTTTCCCATGGTAGTCTATTCATATCTTAATAACTTTGTTAGGTTATTTGATCAATTTCGATGTAGGATCCTTAATACTCTCGACGTGGCTATGGTACATTTTTCACTTTCGTCGATGATTTATTTCGTAGGTAAAAATCAAATTTCTTCGTAGAGCCTCCATTTCTATCAGAAAAGACACAACAAGAAGAAAGGAAAAAAAAAAAAAGGAAAAGAAAAGGATTTGATTTGTTGGTATTTATCATTCAAATTCTTTTTCTTTTGCTTCAATACATGATAGTGGTATGGGACCCAAATTCAGATTTATGTACATGATAACCAGTCCCCTCCCACGCCATTGTTGCACAAAGGAGGAAGAAGCACACACTTAAATATTAATATTAATGATTTGTTAATTTATTTAGAAATAGAAAAATGTTATTTCTTTTAACTTAAATATTTTTTATGATTTTTTTAGTTTTTCTAACTTTTACATAAATATCTATCGACGTCGATAGTTTATATATATTTTCATAATATTGAGAACTCAATATTTCATTCGACGTCATTATTTAAAACTTAGATTGTATTTGAAGAGAAAAAAGCAAAAAAGAAATGGAAAAGGGAGAAAATTTGAAGTAGCACCTAATTGGACTGAAAGTCGGAATAAGCCCTATTGCTGGTGGGCCATTTTGGCTACAACTCTTTTTTGTTTAGGGGTTCACGGATGGAGGTAAAATGGAGAAACGACACGAGGGGCATCCAATGTGAATCTGAACACCAGATGTGTGTCGGGGTAAATATGAGATTCTACTCCTCCCATAATTTTTGGAAATCCAAATTCTACCGTACAAATTATGAATCCGTAAAAAGACATTGCTCAAGATTTCTCTTATTTTATAGCAACTAAAAACCATTAATCTTTTGGTGGGAATAATACTATATCAACTAGTTGAATTAGAATTAGATTAATAATTAGTAAAATGAACTATACTCCATATTATTAATTTTGATCAAGAATGGACAATAAAGTTAAGAATAAGCAGTAAACATGTCTCTAATAATAAATTGTATTATTTGAAACAACTTTGAATTGCTCCCATCTTCAAGTTGAATTTGACTCCCTTCAAACAATTCGTTTAAGTAATAGTAATGTACTAGTTTCACCTGACATGAGGCCAAATAAATGAARTGGGTTGAGTCGCCCTACTAAAACTTATCAATTCGTATCATGCGACTAGATTATCCAAACGAGTCTTTTCAGTATGCTTAATACTCACCCACATGCTTCTAAAAAAAAATCCCTTAGGGAGTCATCCAACCCAAATTGCTCCAAACGAAGTACGTATCCACGGATTACACCATAACCACACCTCTAGACCATGGCTCTGATATTACTTATTGTCCGCTTTGGGCATAGCTCTCACGGCTTTGCTTTTGGTTTCACCCAAAAGGCCTCATATTAATGGAGATAATTGTCCTCTCATGTATACCCATGACCATTTCCTTCCTTAGCCAATTGAGATTTTGTTTACCATCACCTTACAAACCCAACACGGTTCATCCATGTATCCCTCCTATCTACTTAGACGTCAGAGCATTCAAGCGTGTTGGACTTACAAATTACACCGATGTACCGATCTCTTGTGTTTGCAGGTATTTTTYTGGACATTTAACATTGGAGCTTTGAATTCAAATCCCTCGTCAAGAGTGCTAGAATTTTCCTTTTTGGTGGAATTTGTACTAGTTAATGGTATTAAAAAGTAATTAAGATTCTTTTCACATTAAGCAAATCACTGTCATTAAATTTTGTTGAAATTCATAAATATCATCCTCTGAGATTTGCCTTATAATATGATAATATAGCATTGCATTTCTGTAACGCTCCAGAACCAAATTATTCAAACATAAATAAATAAATTAAACTTGAAAATCTTGTGTGATAATAAAAATACAACCAAGACTCATGAGGTTTCGTATTTGATTTGTATACCTAATTATTGTAATTAAGTGATGATAAGTTGTCAAATGAAAACCAAACATTTCCTACCAATTCTCCCCATTAAATTCTTTTAATAACATTACTATAAAAATACCTCCTCAACCAGATCTCATTTTTGTGTATATCCACATTAATAAACCTTCATTCCAAGCTGTCAACTCATGTTATTACATAAATATATGGTCTACTTYCATTCAACGCTTCGCTTCGGTATATCATCGGTGCATTCTATACGTACTATTTCTAATTTTCTAATCTTGATAATTATTCAATAAATTATTGAGTCTATAACATGATAACGGTCGCTCAACGATTAAAATATTTACTTTCATATGAGCAAATTGAAGTTGTGAGGTTTAAATTTTGGCAAGCTAATAATTTGACGAATAATACTGGGTTTAATAATTATTAAAAATATATTAATGAGTAGAATTTCATATGTACTATAAATTAATAAGTACTTTTCGCTATTTTGAAGAATTATGAAATTAGCTACTTCGTTCTAGTCTAAATTATTTGATAAATTTACAAATAAATAATTAAACTTATTTAATCAATAGTATAAATGAAAAAGAAACTAATGAGAAATGTAAACTTAATACAAGCTGACTATAAAAATTTCAATAACCGAATGCCAATGTTTATATATTTTTTTCCTTTAAAAAAAGGAAATACATAAAAA